ATACACGAACTGGATTATCTAACTATTATCTTTATTGACGCAAAGTTTCTAACTTTTGCCTCTTTTTGTTTTGTTTCTTTGCAAGTGGGATCTAGAATGATAAAGTAGCCTTTACGATTGACTAACCTAACCCTAATTTGTCTTACTTCACTCTCAGAACATAAATACAATGAAGTATTGAGTACGCCGCTCTGGTTTTAGCTTGCGTTTAAAATTTATTCTCAGATCATGTATTAAAATATTTTCTTACTTAGATAGAATTAATGCAACTAAGTGAAGTTAGAAGATTAACAACTGTCAATTAAATAGGAATATAAAATAACAGTAATCTTGAAATCTGTGCGAAAATAGAGCTTAGAAAGTATACTTTTATGCCATTATTGTGTTATTTTCGCACCAAAGAACTTTAACATAAACAGTCTATGTAAATTGTTCATGGTTCTTTTATTATATTAAACTAAAACGTTTTGGCAGTAACATTGTTTTTCATGTAATCTTCATAAGTTCATTACAAGTATATTGCAATGAATCTTAAGATTTAACTGGAGAGAAACGTCATGACTACAGCACTTTGAGAAAAATCTCTTTCACAGCGATAGTAAATGAAAACCCACGACTTAAGCTAACGTAACGCATAAAAAAATGTCCAAAACCCTCATCAATCACTGAGACATCTTATTTTGTCCCAAGATCAATAACATTACCCTTAGGACACGCTTTTGATAAGAGATCCCAGCAACATTTGTTCACATGTAAAACAACCCTGCTACAGTACGATCGGTGTCTTTTTTTTTACAATTACTTAATGCACTAAAAATAACGGTTATCTTTTCATTTAGAGAGAAATAGTTATTGCCAGAAGTGTTGTATTTTTTTTCTTTTGACATTATGTTTGCACCAGTAAACAAACGTATACCGTTTCGTTAGGTAAAGTAAAAGAATTGAAATTTCGTGATGCGCATTATTCTTGAAAGTTTGTGTCTGCACAATTTGGTTATATAGTCAGACAGCAAACCTTGCACAATTTGGTTATATAGTCAGACAGCAAACCTTGCACAATTTGGTTATATAGTCAGACAGCAAACCTTGCACAGTTTGTTTATATAGTCAGACAGCAAACCTTGCACAGTTTGGTTATATAGTCAGACAGCAAACCTTGCACAATTTAGTTATATAGTCAGACAGTAAACCCTGCACAATTTAGTTATATAGTCAGACAGTAAACCTTGCACAATTTAGTTATGTAATCAGACAGTAAACCTTGCACAATTTAGTTATATAGTCAGACAGCAAACCTTGCACAGTTTGGTTATATAGTCAGACAGCAAACCTTGCACAGTTTGGTTATATAGTCAGACAGCAAACCTTGCACAGTTTGGTTATATAATCAGACAACAAACCTTGCACAATTTAGTTATATAGTCAGACAGTAAACCTTGCACAATTTAGTTATGTAATCAGACAGTAAACCTTGCACAATTTAGTTATGTAATCAGACAGTAAACCTTGCACAATTTAGTTATGTAATCAGACAGTAAACCTTGCACAATTTAGTTATGTAATCAGACAGTAAACCTTGTACAATTTAGTTATGTAATCAGACAGTAAACCTTGCACAATTTAGTTATGTAATCAGACAGTAAACCTTGTACAATTTAGTTATATAACCAGAAAGTAAACCTCCACATTTGATTTATACAATGGACAACTTCATACAAAAACGTTTACTGTTATGGGCTCCTTAATGGTCTCATCCCTCAAGTTAAAATCTGAGTGTAAGAGATTTTTAACTGGTAATAGTTCGTTTTAGATTAATTAACCTGAGGTTTAAGTTTTCTGCAATGACGATATACAACACTCGCAGTACGAGTACCAATGACATTCTTATTAAGAGTTAATTTAACCCGAATAAATGATATATTCGTTGCATGTTATTGATTTCGGAGAGTAGGTTCAAAAAGCTGACATATTATATAACAGCCTCTCTATAGCTCGGTTGGATTTTGTGTTCCCAACAAGAAAAAAAAATGTTAAGTTCAGGAACAGGCGAAATATATATATTATACAGAAACTGTATTTTATACATTATCTTTCATTAAAAAATATGATAAAAGCTAAAGTATGAAAGACAGCTGCATGTAATTCAATTTTCTATTTATATAGTATACATTGTAGAGGTCGCTATTCATATTTTGATAAACTAAAAATATTTTTCGAATACATTAATTAGGGATACAAATTTTAAAACATTCTAAATACATCTCTGAGATAATGTGGGCTAGAGAAGTAAAAGTATACTTGTAAAAAATTGCATTTTCCAAAAAAATAAATGAATAAAACATTAACTAAAACTACTTTAACTTTTCGTTAGTTTTCATCGCGTAAAAAAATAATCAATTACCTTGAATTATTTATTCATTGGTTCTAGAGATAGAATAACCAATACATTTGAAATTTAAAAAGTGAATTATGCAACAATATTAATTTAGGCCGTCAGGTACACACAACAACTTTAAGATAGTTTTCATGATTTAGAAACATTTAATTATCATGATACTGTAATCATGTTCACTGCGAGATATATATATATATATATAATATCCACTGAATGGTTTTCACTGTTCAGATAAACAGAAAGAAAGAACAATGTGGTGATTTTACTGCGCAAAACAATTTCCAATAGAAAGCATAACCGTAGTAATTTAACCGTGTAAGAAGAACCAATAGATAACAAAATTACTAATATTTCAACGCCCAAGAAAAGTCATTAAATGTTGTCATTGCGTATGCTTCAACCTACAAGAAAGGCCAGTAGATAACGGCACCATAATAGCTTCACCCCACGAGAAAGGAAAGAAGATAACGACACCGCGATAATTTCACCCTACAAGAAAGGGCAGTAAATAACGTCACTGTGATAGTTTCACCCTACAAGAAAAGACAGTAGTTAACGGCCCCGTGATAGTTTCACCCTACGAGAAAGGACAGTACTTAATGGCACCGTATAGTTTCAAGAAAGGACAGTAGTTAACGGCACCGTGATAGTTTCACCTTACGAGAAAGGACAGTACTTAACGGCACCGTATAGTTTCAAGAAAGGACAGTAGTTAACGGTACCGTGATAGTTTCACCCAACAAGAAAGGACAGTAGATAACGGCACCGTGATAGTTTCACCTTACGAGAAAGGACAGTGGATAGCCTCACAGTGAAAGAAGGGCCAGTTGATAACAGCACTGCGAATATTTCACTGCGAACGAAAAGCCAATAGAGAAAGTTTTGCGAAAGTTTCGTAAAATTGGAAAAGGCACTTTGAAAGTTTCATAGTGTGGGGAAGGCAAATAAATGTTAGCGATGGGAAGTTTTAACTGCGCAAAGAGAGTACAAAATAGCAATGCGACATGTTTATTCTGTAGAAAATTAAATGAATAATGTTATTGTAAAATTCAATGTGTAAAATGGGTTAATAAACAAACGTTCATATAGCGCTTTACCAGAATAAA